ACGTCACTGCTGGAAGATGGCAGGAGGGAGGGGCTACTACATTTGGGCAAAAATGGCCGCTCCCAGACTCCGTGATCGCAACAATAATAATTTTTTTTTTTTACGATTAACACTAAAGTCATTAAATTCTTGCTGTGAAACATGGAACTGCTGCCCAAGTACATTCAGGAAAATAGGCCATGACGGGCTTAAGATACATTGGCGTTAAACTACTGAGGTTTCAGTTTGCTCATCATGTGATTTTTTTTTTTGTCATACACTAGGTAGATAAAAAGACTAAAAGATATTTTTCAATGAATAAAATTACAAAATGACTCTTTAAGAGGAGAGCGACATAAAGGCTTACCTATGTGACTTTGAGTGTTTATTTAAATCAAGGACCTTATCCTTTGACATGTCACTTTGAAGGGAGACACAGCTTGGATAAAGTTCATCTGCTTTTTTCAACCTGGAATAAAACAATGTGTTTAATACGTTTTTGCACTTTTGGAAAAAAAATTGTAAATCGTATTAAAAATTACAAAAATCTGAGATTTTATTTTTAGGTCGTATCGCCTAGCTCTGTTACCATCATTTAAAAACTTAACGGGGAAAAATGCTTTATATCAATGCTGCTGTATTTTCTTTATTACTTTAATAGAAAGCTCCCTGAAAAACGTCAATACTTAGTATATTAGTATAGTATATAGAAACTAAAGAGGAGAACAACATGAAGCCTTACAAATCTGAGAGGGATTTTTTGAAATCAGTAACGTTATCCTTTGACATGTCACTTTGAAGGGAGACAGATATTCTCTGAAGTTCCAAAGCCTTTTTTAACCTGGAAAAAAACACAATGTGTTTAATACATTCTTGCACGTTTGGAAAAAAAAATGTAAATCATATTAAAAATAAAAAAAATTAAAGAGATTTTATTTTTAGGTTGTATCGGGACCTGGAAAAAAACACAATGTGTTTAATACATTCTTGCACGTTTGGAAAAAAAAATGTAAATCACATTAAAAATAAAAAAAATCAGAGATTTTATTTTTAGGTTGTATCGGGACCTGGAAAAAAACACAATGTGTTTAATACATTCTTGTATGGTCATTTAATATTCTGCAATATTAATTTCTATATATTCTTTATTTTCAAGAGCTAAGGATATTTTTCTCCATTGACCATAAAGCTATCACTTTGCATACATGGCATTAATAACTATTACTATGTTGACATTATTTTAAAAAACTTAACTGGAAAAATGCTTAAAAGCACACTTGGACTTTGTGACCTAAAGAGTTTGATGCATATCAGTTATTTAAAATGATTCCTCAGGCCAATATATAGCGCTTGACACCATCAATGTCATGACCTTGGCACTGAAGTCTGGTCTGATCACTCAGTTCCCACACCTGCTTAGCTCCGCCCAGTTCTCATTACTCGCTTATCTGGTCCACCTGCATTAATGTCTATTTAGCCAGCCTTCAGACCAGCCATCAGTGCCAGATTATATCGAGCTGTGTCCTTGAATATTGTGTAATCTAAACTTCCTTATATTATTTTCAAAGAGCTGAGAATATTTTTCTCTATTGACCATAAATATATCAGTTTGTATACATGGCATTAAAGTCGTAGGGAAATCATAATTAAATGTCAAATCATTCTGGCTTAATTTATTTAAATGTACTCTTTATCAGATGATACGTCTCCAAATTTAGAAAATTTCTATCAAAAAAA